AAGTTTTATACGGCATATATTCAAAAGGACAAAAGTGGGAAGTGGACAAGCATGCTGCCACAGCCATGTCTGCCTGAGTCCCAAGAAAACTGTTTTTATGACCTGGCCAGAAGTCTACACCAACACTGATTTTTAAGGTGGACACAATGAATTACACTGAAAGAGAAATCATTTAGCAAGCACTTATTTCTCATCAGAAATGTTGCTGTTTCAGTGTGATATTTATACTAGCATCTGTATGTGAAATCTTGCTAACCAGTGTTAAATTTTGTTTAGGCAATGTAATGGGTTTCTAAAATTTGGGAGTTTATGTCATTTTAGTTGTGGTTGATGAAGGATGCTTTCCGACTATTGGTGCTTATCTGGGGAAGGGGTTATAAGGTCACAGAACTGTGGAGCAGGAAAGATCTTTTAGGGTTACCTGTATACCCACCCCCCAACCCACTTGTTATCGATGGGTAAATTAAAATCTAGAGAGGTGGATTCCCTTACTCACAGACACACAGCAGGCTAGTGAGCAAGCAGGGACTGGAATTCAGCGTTCTAGCAACTCAGGGTTCCAGCCGTAGTTAACCTGTTTTGCCACTGGCATCAAATTTGAACACTTCCCACAGGCATCTTGGTGAGCCCTGACCACTGAGGAAGGCACCTCTGGCTCCCCAGGGCCTACCCGTAACTGCTGTCCCCCTGCCTTGAGTCTCTGTATCTTTGCCAGCAGCAGCATCTTGCTCAGGAATGAGGGGGGAGCACGAAGTGAGAGGAGAAAGGAGGGAAGGGAGATAATAACCATCGAAGAACATCCTGTGCCCCAAAAGTAATGAGATGGACTTTCTTTTAGACCCACAAAGGTTTTCTGATGGCCATTTCAAAGAAAAAGTCTAAAAATGCTTTGGACAGCAAACTGATGATTTGAATCTGCATTCAGCCTTTCAATGTGGCACCTTTTAAAGACAATACAAATTTAGGTGCAGAAACTCTGGTTTCACTTCTATTTGTATGCATACATGTGTAAACAAATGTATTTATTTTTGCCCCTCTTAAATATAACTGTTAGATGATAAAAGCATTTCGCACAAAAATATCATAAAACCAAATTTCAGGGTTTTTTTTTTTTTTTCTCTTTTAGCTTCAATGGATATTCTGTGATTAGTGAGTGAGTTCTGTTGAGACCCTTAGAAGAATTCATAAATACTGATAAAAATGGTTTAAGGTTCCATATAGCTAAAAATTAACAATTTCTTGATGATAGGGAGCTAAGAATCACTGACTAAATTAACAGAGATTGGGCTGCCATTTAAAGAAAACAGTTGACAACATTAGCTTGATGTTATTTGGTAGACACAGTAAGGTACAGTATGTATTACTAACCTCATTACGTTCCAAATAAAACCCTATACTTTACACCATTTCTACAAGAGGTTTTATTAGATTTCCTTAACTGGTGTCATATTTTTTGGCCAGGGCATTTTTAACCAGCTTCACATAAATAAAGTTCTATTTTGTCACCATGTCATAGTAAAATAAACTTCTTCTACTATGCATCCCTGCCAAAGCCAGAGCAGACGGGGAAAGGATATAAATGTGTCAGTATTCGGGGAGAGAAAACACATAAATGCACATGGCAACTCTCTTAACTCCAAGGCTCAGCGTGATACTAATTCATTTGGGTGACATTTAGAAAGCTACTCCCAACATAAATAATATGTATATAGTGGGGGGTATCTCTGACAGACACAAAGTTGAAAAAAATGTCCTGAAAGAATGCACATCAGATTTTACAGGTGCCCAGAACATTAATGTACAATGATGGATGACCTTTTTGCTGAAGGTTGACATAATGTTGAATGGAATGTTTTGTTTATATCTGGTACCGAGTTTATTGACCAGCACCAAAAGGTAGGACCAAGCTGGGATTTTGAACAGTCTCTACTTTTTTCTTTTTGTGGAAACCATTTTCTATGTCCCACCCCTCACAGGCAATAGTTCTTAAGTTGTTTCACAGATATCATTCCACAAGATGGATTACTCTCTTAAAAAAAGAAAGAATCTTAGGCCTAAGTACTCATTACCAGAGGTACAATTTTTGATGGGTAAATATGAAAAATTAGGCAGAGAAGGTTTTCACCACATTTATCATACATCTTTAATCTTGGTTTGTCATCTCTAACGTGTCTACAGTTAAAATCCCTGTGATTAATGGTGAGTTGCTACTGTGAGTGCCTGTAGATAAAATCACAGAATCCAGAAATATAAGAGACCAACAAGTCATCCAGGCCATCTGAATAACAGCATAGACTTGTCCCCATAGGGCCCTTGTCAGTATGAATAGAAACAAAATTATAATGAAAAATAGACAAAACTTTTAGTATCAATCTAAGTGATAATTTCCTTTCATCACTAAGTGGGAAATTATCACTATACAAAAGTAATCCCTTTGGAAAAATTTTCCAAGTACTTAGCATAAGTTATTTCTTTCATAATGTCAGCCATTATACCTAGTTATTATAGCCTCTTGAGCAATGCTGTACGTTCTTTTTTCTTGATGGTTATACCTTTCAAGTTAACTTTACCATGGCCGTCTTTAGTCATTTTTAGTTTGTTTGCACATTTGTTCATTCTGTCATTTATTCATTCATTCATTCAATAAATATTTATTGAAAGCCTACACTCCTCCAGGATTTGAGGAGGATACAAAGGCATATCAGATGAAGAACTTTCCCTCAAATGCCTTAAAGAGTAGTGGGTAGATAAAACAGGTGTCAAAATATAAGGTATAAAGTAATCTATGCCCGTAGAAAGTTACAGATAGAGTTGAGAATGTACAGATGCAGAAATGATAAACAGTTCTAATTGGAGGGATCTCAAAACTTCCTAGAAGTGGCAGTATTTGAGCTGGGCCTTAAGAGATGCTTAGATTTTGCACTCTAGAAAACAGGATGAAGTAGAGGAAAGCATTACAGGCACAAGGAAAGCTAAGAAAGGCAAAGAAGAAGAAAGGGAAGGGGCAAAGGATAGAATCAGCAAATAGTGGAAAGGTAAATTAGGGGCAGATCAGCCAGGACTTTGAAAGATCAAGCTAAAAATTTCAGGTCTTCTTCCCTTGTCAGTAGGGAGGAACTGAAAGTCTTTAGCAGGAACAACTGTGCTAAGGAGGCGCTCTCTAGGATGGGGTTGTGGATAAAGAGTTCAAAGGTGAGGAGGCCAATTGGGCGGCCCAGATGGGAGATAGAGAATTCTGAAAAAGACTGGAGAAAGAGAGAAGGGCTGGAGTAGAGACATGAGGCAAATCCTCACATCAGAGGATTGGAGGTATTTTTCACTGGGGTTGATGCACCAAGGAAGACCTTAAGTTTTCAGCTGAGTAACTGGGAGAGTTAATAAAAATAGGAGCAGGTTTAGAAAGCATGGGACAATGAGTTTGGTTCTGAACACCCATTTGGTAACATGGTTCTTCAGAACCATGTTGTATTCATCTTTGAATACTCAGTTTCTAACACAGCATAGGTGCTGAATTAATAGGGAATGTTACTAGAAGAAAAAAAATTACCGTATGTGAAGCTATCCAGTAGGCAGAAAATCAGCCATTACAAATTTATTTTCTCTCTTTTCACAGTGTCTGGCACATGGTATGTATTTAAGTATTAAGAATCTATTAAATTTTATTTCTTAACTATAAGAGTGGTTAAAATATGTAAATGGAAAAGAAATATGTTTGTATAAATTCCTCTATTATTGTGATAATATCCAAAGTGATAGATTTCTACTATGTCTTCCTAACTGATATTAAAAATAATGTTTGAAATATATGGTCTTGTACAGAGAATAAGGAGCCCTGGTGGCACAGTGGTTAAGCGCTCAGCTGCTAATTGAAAGGTCGGTGGTTTGAACCTACCAGCTGCTCTGTGGGAGAAAGATGTGGCAGTCTACTTCCATAAAGATTATAGCCTTGGAAACCCTGTGAGGCAGTTCTGCTCTGTTTTTAAGGGTTGCCATGAATGGAAATCAACTTGATGGCAACAGGTTTGGTTTTTTGGTTTATGCTGAAAATATTTTTCAAATGCCATTATTAGTCTCTAACTAACTTTTAGCCATTTTGTCTGCAATATGAAATAGAGACAATTATCTAAAACTTTTATTTCTGTTAGTTTTGCCATCTATTGAATATTAATTTTCATTAAGCAAGGGCTCACATTTTTCAATTTAGAGCTAACCACTTACAAACTTTATATCCTGTTTTGTTCTATTCTGACTTTTCCTTTGTATTCCATACTTCTGACTTTATATATGCTTTAAGTTTTCTGACTCGATTTTATCAGCTGTTTATGCCAGGTTCATGTTCATAACAATGTGACACTTACAGGTTACGAAATAGAAATGTTAATACAGTCTTTGTTACATGGCCCGCATGCTGTTCACACAGACTAGCCGAAAAGTATCCTGCTGTGTTTATGTGAAATTGAAAAGTTAATAACTAAAAAAAGTCTTAAAATTTGAGCACATTGCTGATTAGTAATAGCTTATAGTATGACTTGTTATCATTAACTAAATATTTTCTGACATTCAACCCTTGATAACTGAAAACAGTGTTTAGACATGGACTATAATACAGGCAATTGATACTTCAAAACTAAATGGGTAGAGGCAGAGGTAGAATAGCAAAATGATAAAAATCAAATTCCACATCACCACTGAAGGATCCCGGGAACACTGGGTAGCCATAGCTTGATGATAGATGAGTAACCAGATCTAAGCGTTCTGTAAATACCCAGTCATTTGGGAAAAGTTTTCTTGAATGTCCCGCTCTGCATACCTGATACATGACAACTTGGGGACCGAGGCCAGACTACAAAAGACATGATCTTTTTGCCAAGGCCACACCCCTTGTGGACTGGGTAAAAATGGAGACGCTTGTATTCTTGAGATTTATTGTCATGACATTAAAGAATCACTATTTTTTTATTATGTTTTCATTTGTTTCATTTTTATCCTTAATCTTGTAGTGCAGAATTCCCAAGAAATGTCACTTTGAACTCCATGAATATGGAAAATGGTAAGACCTTTATAGATCTAGATTTCTTTGGTCTAGAATTTGCTTCTAATCCTGATGTCACTTCTGTTTATTCAGGATGAAAATCCCACCATTTACTTAGTGAACATATATATGTGATAATATAGTAATAAAGTTAAGAAAAGAGTTCCCCCTTTTAAGAAACTTAACCATAAAACCATAGTCATGGAGACATATAAATATAGAAATCTTTAATGACAATGAATAATAGAACCCTCCACCCCCACCAAACTGAGACTCTTCTTCCTGCTTCAAAATCTGCAGTTAAGACTGAAGGAAGAATAGTTCATTCCACTGTGATCTTTTTTTTTTTTTTTTGGGAGGGGGTCCAAGTTTACCTTGTATTTATCATACCTGAAGCATGACTACCTGAAACATGGGCAAAAATGAAGCCATTGCAGGAGGCCCCAGCCCAAGGTGTTTGTAACCTGTGAATCATTTTGTGGCGTTCCAGAAGGTGTCATAGCTGTTGAGATCCCTGTATAGCTCAAAAGCCTGTTTGAGAAGCTCTGAACTGAGTCTGTGTAGAACTGTGCTGTTTCCACAACGTTGGAGTGAGACTGATCTCTCAGCCATGTCTTTCCTTTGTGAGAAATATCAGGCTTCCTCAGCCGCACGTTTCCACTGTGGGAAAAACCAGGCTAACCCCTGGAATTGAGGAAGTTTGTTTGGTGTGCCAGAGTTTTATTCATTCATTTATTTTTTCACTGATTTTTTCTATCATTTATTCAGTCACTCATTCATTCATTCATTTATAAAAAGATATCTAGAATTTATTATATTAGGCCCAGAAGCCAGAGATGAATAAGACAACCCCTATTCTCACTGTCTAGTGGGAACATATACAAATGACCAACTATATAATAAGATGTGATTACTTCTGTAATAGAACTAATATTATGGGAATGGAGAAGAGAAAATGACCGTGTTGGGGTAGGATTCTGGAAGGGCTTCAGATTTACTGATTTACAGTGATCACAAATGTTGGCCCCTAAGTCTATGCCTTCCCATAATGTCTCATTTGTGCAAAATAACAAGAAAAATGAGTAAATTTTCATAAAATTAATTTAATAAACTATCATTTTTGAGATTTTGTGTTTTCTACTTCTATATTGTTAAAAAATGCCCTTTCTTCCATGAAATAATAGTGGGAGTAGATAATGGTAATTTTTTCTTGCTTGGCAAAATAAAAAATTGGCCACCCTATGTTATACGCGAAGATTTAAAAAATAAAAAAAATTACTGGTCTGTGAAATCTGGAAGTTGATATTTGAGGTGGGTCTTTGTTTATGTTTACCTATTTTCCAAAACCTGGCAACGGTTAGAAATGCAGCTTATTTTTTCAAAAGTTAAGACAATTTGAAAATATGACTAGGTTTAAAGAGAGTGTAGAGTATCCTCACAGACGATAAATTCTTAAGAGACAGTCATCTTCTAACTGGCTTTTGGTGAGCATGCCTTTTCTCGTCCTCTTTTTGAACTCATGGTGGTCAACCATGCTTTACCACAAAATTAGCCCTTTTTCAATATTGTTGTTGTTGTTGCTAGGTGCTGTCGAGTTGACTCTTAGCGACCCTATGTATAACAGAATGAAACACTGTATGGTCCTGCGCCATCCTCACAATTGTTTCTATGTTTGAGCCCATTGTTGCAGCCACCGTGTCAGTCTATCTCATTGAGGGTCTTCCTCTTTTTTGCTGACCCTCTGCTTTACCAAGCATGATGTCCTTCTCCAGGGACTGGTCCCTCCTGATAACATGTCCAAAGTATGTAAGACAAAGACAAAAAATTGTACAGCTTGGACCAATTTCTGTCTCAGTGAGATATGTTTCTGCAGTGAATGGATATTTTGCTGCTTCTTTCATAATCCCAAACAAAATTCATCTGCTTCATTGTTAAGGAACCATTGAATTGAGTGACACCTGCCACTCATCTAAAAAACCAAGAGTTTTCCTCACTGTGGTCTGCACCCATGGTGGAACTCTGGAGACATAACCTGATAGTTAAAGAGTTCCACATCCAGGTGAAATTTGCTTCTTAATTTTATTAGTATATTTTCACATGTACATGCTCATTACATGTTCTATGCAGGTAGTGAATGCCACCCAAGGGCCAGATTCCACAGTCCCACTTCCTGTGAGTCCTGGTGGAGTTCAGTGAAGAACAGGGATTAAGATCAATAAATGTTCTGAGTACAATAATTTCACTCTGTTTTTATTAGTACCAAAATGTCAGCTCTTACCTAATCACAAAGCAAAGTAGTTTGAAACAACACGAGCCTGTACAGTGATATGTGTACGGTCGCTATAAGAGGGAATCGACTCAACGGCAAAGGTATACAAGCACAAGAAGCCCTGGTGGTGCAGTGGTTAATGACCTCAGCTACTAACCGATAAGTTGATGGTTCAAACTCACCAGCCACTCTGCAGGAGAACAATGTGACAGTCTGCTTCCATAAAGATTTATAGCCTTGAAACCTCATGGGGCAGTTCTACTCTGTCCTACAGGGTCGCTGTGGGTCGGAGTCAACTCGACGGCAATGGGTTTGAGTTTCGGGTATACAAGCACACACATAGTTCATTTGTACGAATCTCAGACTCATTTCTTCCTCACCACTGGCCTTGCCTCTATGTCTAGTCAGTTTGCATTGTTCTGCTTTTTCTTCTTTGATATCCTTGCTGTTTAATTAAAAGCTAAAGCTTAACTGGATAGATAATGTTGCAATGGCTAAAATTCGGGTAGCCAAACCAAAAAACCAAACCCACTGCCATCAAGTTGATTCGGAGTCATAGCGACCCTATAGGACAGAGTAGAACTGCCCTATAGTGTTTCAAAGAAGCAATCCTAATGCCATGTTCTTATTCATATAGTCCAGCTTCTAGGAGTATTTGCTCAGCATACAGATTGAATAAGCATGGTGAAAGGATACAACCCCGATGCATACCTTTCCTGATTTTAAACCACTCAGTATC